TATATATATATATATATATATATATATATTGGTGGTTCAGTGGCTAAGATGCTGAGCTTGTTGATGAGAAAGGCGGTGGTTCGAATCCCTACACTTACATAGTGTAAGGGAGTGAGCTCCTGTTACTTGTCCCAGCTTCTTCCTGCCTAGCAGTTCTAAAGCATGTAAAAATGCAAGTAGAAAAATAGGGGGCCCCTTTGGTGGGAAGGTAACAGCGTTCTGTGTGCCTTTGGCGTTTAGTCATGCCGTAGCCACTTAAGTCATGACCAACAAGACGTCTTCGGACAGTGCTGGCTTTTTGGCTTTGAAACGGAGATGAGCACTGCCCACTAGAGTTGGGAATAACTAGCATATATGGGCAAGGGGAACTTTTACCTTTACACACACATACACATGTAGATTGGGCTATTTGCAGGTTGTATGATTTGGGCTATTTTTTTCCTCCGGTTGCCATTCCCAAATGGGATGTTCTCTGCCAGAAAATTGAGTTTATACAGTTGCTTTTATGTCCTTGGGACTACTTTCTACATTAAAATGCAGGTAGGTAAACCCAATCATCCCTTCTATATTTGATTGTGTATGTACAGTGTATGTACAGCACCTAGAAATAGCATGATGAAGGATATATGGAGATGGAATGGGAGTAATGGAGATGATCAGGACCTCATAATATATTGACTAGCAAAAGGTATTATAAGGCATTTAATAAACTTATTAAAGGATGGCAAATATTTCTTGAAATATTTATATTGGGTACCTCGGTAGTAGAAGTAAACTAAATATTTATCAGATTCAAATTAATTCTTTAAAAGAAGATTCTGAGCAATGATGGTAACAACAAACACTTGCAGTCAATAATTTACCATTTACCTGTGTTCATTACAATGCTTTGTTCTTTCCATTCTAGAATCCTGTGTTAGCTATTTGACATCTGCAAAAGTCCTCCTATACTTTGGACATGCCCTGTCCACTTGGGTAAGTGAAATAAAACCAGGGGAATTTGCATTTGATTTCAGGTTGATTGATATGTATTAATAATTATTTGGATACATGTGTATTTATATTACTATATTATCTTTAGCAAAAATACATCAGCTAAATTACGCTCTGGCATAAATTGTGAAATCACTTCTTTGGGATGCTACAGTTAGGATTAGACTCTGGACTTTCTAATGTGTGGATAAAACCCAGGATTCACTGATTTTAAAGGATCTCATACAGTTGTTGAATGGTAGGTCCAGATGCAGCCATAGTACTTAAGGGTAGATCTTTTGAAATTGGTGGACCGTAACTTGATCATTTATGAATTTGTTCCCTTGGTTTTAATATATCTAAAAAGATATATATTTAATATATCTAAAAAAGTCATTGCATGGTCTCAACCTACTAAGTACAAAATAAATTGAACTTTGCATCTGATTTGAGGCATTTTTATTCTGTTTGACAAGTTTCCATTTTTTAGGCAATGCTTGCAACTCAATCATCAATGGATTTAATTCTCTTTTAGTAACTTTTGATATTCTGTGGATAAGAAGTTCGAGGTTTTGTATTGTAAATATAAACTACTTGTAGAAATTAATTGTTGGATTGGCAACACATTTTTGAGGAAGCAGAACTTTTTAAAAAAGCAGAATACATTGCATTTCCAAGCAACAGTTTAAAACAGCAGTTGGTAATTTTTATGTTAGCTTTGCTATTGATTTTTTTAGAGTTATGTTGATTATTAGGAATTGTGACCTATTAATGTTTAACGCTAAATCTTATAATCTTCAGAATTTTAGGAGAATGTTTGTTTTCACTTATTATATTAAATATTCACTTATTGCATCTTTTCCTGCTTTGTTCTACATTTGAATAAAAAGTTTATTTTATCACTGCAGTAGTAAAACAGCTTACATGAAAAATATCTTATTGGTAACAATATTGGATTTAAAAAAATATATTTACTCAATCTACTTTTAATCTTTTTTTCTATTTAAAAATACTCAGGCAAATTAGAAACAACATTCAAAATATAGCCTACATTTAAAATATGCTTAAAAGTATGTATGAGAGAGAGAGATGAGAAGTAGTATTAGGTTGATGAACATGACTCCTACATTTTGATTTAAATCTGGCTTGGTTGTAAAGTGACTAATTATGGTAAGAACTTAATATAAAAGCATTATATATAGTGTGACTGTTCAGATCTCTGATAGTAGTGCTTAAAATTTAAAATCATGGCCATCCTCATTAAGATGTCCAAAAGAGGTCTATCTTTTTATCATTATCATAATAATGTTTGATATATCACTTTTCCTCTTATTAAAATTAACGACTGTAACAATAGCATATTCGATTGTCTCTTGATTTAATGAATTATATGACTAATACTATGATCTAAGCATTATTTATTTCATTGGATTGCCTTTGGGAATTTAGAATTATGGCATAATTTTAAATGGCTATGTAGTTCATATACCAGAATATATTTATAAAAAATTCTGCTTAATTCATTAATGATCGCTTACACTCATTCATGATAATATTGTCTGCTTAAATCATTTTTTTTCTTTCTTAAATAGAAAGAAATAGGCAAATAAATAATTTTGTAAAATAGCTAACCTTTTATAACCATTAGTTAAATTAAGAAGCTTAGAAATACTGCAACTTCAGTAAATATCAACATTGCTGATTTAGCTATTAAGTTATTTATTAATTAGGAAGTAACCCCTTGCAGAACTTCAACAATAGCAGGCTTACATCTTGAGTTAAAAATTTTGGCTTCTACTTCATGGCAAAGTCAAAAGTAATTGCATTTTCAGAGCCCAATGAATCTGCTTCCTTATTAGACAAGTGGTAATTTCATTAAATTGTGGTCACTTCATACCTTATGCAAAAGCAAACCTGGAAGTGAAGAGTACATTCCAAAGAGTTGATATTAACCACAATTTCTTAACAAACTTACCTCATCAACCCATATACAATATTCATATTTGCCAGTGTAAACTGAAATACCTTTAGGAGTGCATATAAAATAGATTGGGCCAATTTCATATACTGTATAACACTTGGCTGGATTCCCAATGAGGCACTTATAGTGTAAAACACACCTTGCCTTATTCTCAAAAGCTTATGAGAGGCCAAGTGAAAGGTATTTCTAACCTTGTTTTTCCTCAATGCCAGTCACATTAATAATGCCCTCTTGTTTTCTAGAGTTCATTGTCACCAGATTATCATTTCTTTGATTTATGGTTGCTTGCATTCAGGCATTTCAATATGAGCAACTTTGGTATTATCATTAGTTACTGGATTTTTGGTTGCTAACGGAAGGGGACAGATATGTGCAAAGCATGGAGATATGCATGCACACATTCAGAGAGGCTGTGTAAAATATTAACAATGCAAAATAAATGGCCATTAGAGATATCAGCTGACCAGTCTTGTTTGGTCATTGTCAGTTCATTCAGTGATTTTATTAGGTATTGAGTTAATGTAGTCAGAATCAATTATTCCTGTATTTTTCATGGACAGAATAGTGGAATGTTAATTGATTGTAGCAGAGCTAATTATTTAGACTTGTAAGAAAGCACAAAAGTTGACAGAACAAGTGACACCACCCCAAGTTGTTATGTGCGTGAGACGGGCAATCTTCAAGTTCAAGAAATAAATAAATAAAAATTCTTGCCAGCCTAGACATTAAGAGATGGTGTATTTTATCAGTGAGGAGGATGCAAGTCTTAAGAGAATCTTTACTAAGATGATGGGTTCCAGGTATTTTGAGAGTCACAATTTCCGGTGGACATGCAATCCAAAGATATTAATGTTATAATTGTAGTTTGCTTCAAGGTTATTTATTTGTTTGTTCTCAGTGCAGAGAAAGTTCACAATACAGCAAATATAAAAAAACAGTAAATATAAATAACAAAAGGGCTCAGTGGCTAAGACACTGAGTTTGTCGATCAGAAACTTCGGCACTTTGGCGGTTCGAATCCCTAGTGCCGCATAACGGAGGGAGCGCCCATTACTTGACTCAGCTTCTGCCAACCGAGAAGTTCGAAAGCATGTAAAAATGCAAGTAAAAAAATATGGACCACTTTGGTAGGAAGATAACAGCGTTTAAT